GAAGCTAAAGCCCGCTGGTTGAGTTCCTTGCGCCTTACCTCGACGGAAACCAGCTGCTTGGTGATGAACTTCTGGAATACCGGGAACCCGGCCCGGAACCACCCTCGCTTCTCGCGGAACAGCGGGGATTCCGCGATGCACCCGGGGAAAAGCGCGCTCACCACCATTCCTCCAGACGAGTAACGCTTGTCCATCTCCCTCATCATCAGCACGTTGCACACCTTAGAGTCCTTGTACGCCTTTCGGTGGAGGTGACGGCGATAGAGAAGGGAGGGTGAGTTGCCCGAATTTTGGCCGAACGCATGGGGGTAGTATTCATGGAGAGCGGGTCTTGGATACGAGTTCGGTACATACGGCCGATGGGTTCAATCAGACTCTCGTCTTGCGGACAAGAGGGTATTGCTCTCAACTACAGGTTTCTTGACGTTTACTACACAACTTGCGTGTCCGGGACAACCTTTGACAGGTGGAACATCAAGATGAACACGCCCGGTGGCTCACTTCGTCACCGTACACACAGCAACCCTTGCTGCCGTCTTCGACCAAAACTCGACCCAACACGCTTGAGTCCTCTCGACAAACTGGCAGTTCTTCGCATCTCATATTTGTTTGTGTGAGTGTGAACTTTCGAGCGCAAGTCAACCAGATGGGGCGAACACAATGTAGACTCAAGCGTGAAGACCAGTATCCAGCCGGGTCTTCTCCCACGCAGACTACCTTTCGACTGCCGTGGTTATACAGTGTCTCGCGCGGGTTGATCATTCTGTGCCGTATGCATATTTTCCAAAACAAGACAAATGACGTATAAATAAAGCTTGCTTACCTTGGTGGGCTCGTACTTGACACCGTCGACCATGGGTTCGTTCTTGGCGAGCCCGTCCAGGTCTCCCAGGTGAGCCTGCGAGTCAAAAGACAAATCAGCGTCAACTGATCACACAGCCCCAGCCCCAGCCACATGCCGATGAAGACGACAGCCTTCCTGAACGCTGCGTCCAAACCCGCTTGCCCTCCGATCTTGCAACAACGTTTTCTCCCCCGTCTACAAGAACGCCGACTAATCTAACCTGAGGGGGGGACACGTACTCTCATCTTTTACATGCCTTTTGAGCGGATGTTAGACCGTTGACCACGCGTTCTCTTGAGAGGACGGAGCGACTAACCTGGGGGGGGATCTTTCCCGCGATGCTTCCAGGGTTGTGTGTCTCCGTGCCGATGAAGACGACGCGGGACTGCTTCAGCTCGTCGATGAGCAGGTTCACGAGCAGGAAGTGCCCGAGGTGGTTCACGCCGATCGCCTCCTCGAACCCGTCGGCCGTCCGTCGCGGCTTCTTGTCCTGCGGACAACAACAACAACAACAACGAAACCGACAAAACGACAGGAGGGAGAAAAAGAAAAGAAGAATAAAATAAAAGGCGAGGGTATCGTAGGTTCAGTCGGCAGTCCGCCGCGGTTATTGTCCTCCGGACCTCAACATGCAACAACAAAATCGAAAGAGGAGGAAAGACAGAGGCGGTGGGAGGATACGGGTATTTGTAAGATCATGGAGGGGGGTAGGTCTCTTCGTTGGGCTCTCTCGCCTCCCACGGTCTGCGGTATTTACGAAAGAGGATTGCGTTTGCTCTGCTAGTCTACGCATGCAGCTCGGGTGGAGGGAGAAGGTCGAGACTGGCGGTTAGGCGGAGCCAACCAAGAATCGCTTGCTGTTCACACCAGACCTTCGATTGTATTGCATTTCCATGACAGCAGCAGTAAGCAGGGGCAGACCCTTGTTGGGTCTGGGCTTTCGCAAAGTATCCATGCCTCGTAAGAGCACGGCTACGGAGGAATTTGCGGCCAAGCAAACTTCGCGCAAGTAACTGCCGGACCCGACGCCTACACCGCACAAGACTTGAAACGTCGACGACAGCCCTCGCGTTTTTCGCTAAGGTGCCTCTAAGCTCTATCTGCAAAACGCCAACAACCCGACCCGATGCACGCGTCGCGCCGCAAAAAACAACGCTAGCGTACGCCATCACCAACCTAACTGTACCGTGGTGATATTTCGAATGGACAGTCTTTGTTTTTATACGTCAAAACATGAAACATAAAATCTACCACGCATACCTTGGGGTGCCAGACGGCAGCGTTGCACACGAGCGCGTCGGGCTTAACCTTGGCGGCCTTGATCTCCGCCACAAAATTCCTGACGCTGTTGAGCGAAGCCAGGTCCAGGTTCATCACCGTATACGTGGAGGGGTCCATGCCCAGGTCCTTGGCCCCTGCCTCGGCCTTCGCGAAGGATCGGACGGCCAAGATCACGTGCCAGTCTCCCGAGGCTGCGAGGAACTTGGCTCCCTCCAGGCCGATCCCTGCCGATACAAAAGTTGGAGGTAGTGTTTCATGAAAATGCTGTAATGAACCACGACAGATACTGCGAGCAGTAGTAGAGTCGACCGTGGAAGTATGTCCGGGCTTGATGTCTTCACGAATTGCATCTATTTGAATCTCTCTCTCTCTCTCTCTCGCTCTCTTTCTCTCTCTCCCTCTCTTGTCTATTCTTCATGATACAGTAAATCGAAGTTTGCACTGCAATGGACAAAGAGAGGGACCAGGGAGATCGTCCGATAAACTCCTGGTTTACAGAAACACGCACCACGTTTTTCTACATAAGAAACGACAGCGGCGAAAACATATAGGGGCTTGGGGTGTGTTCACTGGTCAGTTTCCGGGTATAGCAGTAAACTCCCACACATGAATACGGGCAAATACTCCCTCACATAAACATAGGCGTGAACTTGGACTACGTCGTGACATGGGCGGCTAATGTTCTGAGGCAACACTGGTCTGGATTGACGCCCATTGGAACGACTAACGATTTGTTGCGGGCACGAACGCAACGAACAAGGCTCGACGCCTTGACGCACATTGGCTCCCACAACGCCCCGTAGAGCCTGGCTGTTATCGCTGTTATCGCTGTTATCGTGCATACGAGGCACGTGTTCTCGAGAGCTAAACGGGCGTTCAACCCAGCGCCGAACTAGGGATGAGGCGCGACGCATAGCATGATCCTTCAAAACGCCTTCCATGACAGAAAAAAGTACACATTTCAGAATGCAGTGTATCAACACTTGGAACCCTGACCAGAAACAACTTGAAGCTAGAACCGACAACCGCACGCGCCCTGCCCACGGCCAGGAAGCGAGCGCTGTATGTGCACGTTCCCAGCGTGCACACCATAAGGTAGTGAGCGTAAACATATCTCAAATCTGGTGAAAAACGAGGGCGTTTTCACAACCCCAGGAGCGTTCCCGCGAGTGTTCAATTGGCCAACATCGATGACATGGTATTTTAGAGTTGGAATGAACACAATTCAACCAATGTAACGACGAAAAATTCTTCACGGAGAGGAAACACCATCGGAGCGAGGTTCCCTGCCGCGGGAAATATCCGGTGCCCGTGGGACTGACCGCGAGGGGCAGCATGCAGCGGGGGGCTCAAGGAATGATGACCGCCCTCCCCACTCGCGGCTGCCAGCCCACGGTCATGATTCCTTGAGCCTCCCCCTGCATGCTGCCCCTCGCCGTCAGTCCCACGGGCACCGGTTGTGTAACTGTAACACCAAAAACAATGTCCGGCGGGTCCCATGCCGACAACTAATGTCAGATTTTGTTTGTCGACAACGGATGCCCGACGACGACATCCCAGGGAACTAAGTGTTTAGTGACCGGGTTTTGGGTAGGCAGTCGAAGTGAGAGGCGAGAGTAACGCTGTCTGAAAACACATCAGCGGAGGAGCCTGCGAGGGATCTATCTCGGAGGCATTGATTGGAGCTGCTCTCCGCTCTCGCCGTATCACATCCTCAATTGAACGCTGGGTCAAACTGAACGCCCACAACCTGGGAGGAAACGGCCGCGTTTTCACCAGAGTGTGGGACGCAAACCTACAAAATCTGAAAAAAAAGGAAAAAAGACGAAGAAAGGCCGGACACGAGACTCCACCCAGAAACCTCGGGCGAATGAGGGGAACAAGTTGATCTTGGGCCCAGACCAACGGCAGAGAGCTGTTGAGTCCACAGTGAAATGAGCACGTATATATACCTGCAACGCTGACAAACATTTTCCAAAAATTGTTTCTGAAATCGAGCAGATACACCTTCAGGAGACCCGACGAGAGGGGCAAGGTTCAATTGCACACGACGGGTACGTGATCATCGGGAGTGGCGCCCGTGCTGGCACCAAGGACAAGAGCGGCGTACACGGTGTGGGCATAGCGATCAAGGAGGCCATGTGGGAGAGTGTGGGCGAGGAAGGTAGGACGGTGGAGTGCATTAGCCCGAGGCTGATGAAGGTGCGTCTACAAATTGACCGCACCTGCGGAGTAGCTTTCGTGGTGGGGTACGCCCCCACGGAAACTGTCCGCACCACCGCGGGCGGTGATGTTAACGCCAAGGACTCCTTCTGGACTGCTCTCGACGCAGCGATCCGGGAGGTTCACAGCCGTGACCATCTCGTGGTGCTAATGGACGCCAACGCACGCACTGGTAGGAGGCGAGACGGGTGCTGCGATGCCAAGATTATGGGCGCGTACGGACGCGACATTATGAGCAACAACGGGGAACGACTCCTTGGACTGGCGTCAGACAACCAACTCTCCCTGACCAACACCTACTCGCGGACACCGAAAGGCGGAGTGAGGCACACATTCCAGAGCTCCAACAAGGGGAGGTAGAAGCACCGCCTCGAGTTCATCCTCATGCGTCAGACGGACCGGCGTTTCGTGCGTAATGTCTCCGTCAAACGTGTCGACTTCAA